AGGTGGTACCTTCAGCCGCGCGCTGCAACGCGCCGGGGAGCAGCAAGCGAGCGAGCGGGGCCGGCGCGGAGGTTCGCTGAGCTCGGGGCCGCCGCCGCGGCTGCTAGAAACTCCCCCAAAGTTGAGAGCCGGCGAGAGGCTGCCGCCCGCCGGGTGCTGGAGGGAAAGGAAGTCGGAGGGGGGGTGGCAGAGTGATAGACCGAAGCCCGACGACAGACGGACACGCAGACCTGGAGGAGACACCCCCGCCGACCGCCGCTCCCCCGAGCCACAGAGACTTCCCAGCCCCGTGAGTTTTCTGGGCGGGTGGCTTGCTAAAAGTATTTCCGTTTCATTGTTTACATGATGCGTTTGTGTAGTTTTGTTGGAGGGAGTTTTAAAACGCTGAATGCAACTTGGGGGGGGTGGGGGAGAATCCTCTGATTGCCAAACAGTTGCCTTGATAGGATGTGGCTGTATATTTACAGTGGTAACCCAGGACTATGTGCATTAAAAAAAAAAGAAAGAAAAGCAAACGAGAACTTCCCTAGTGTGAACTAAAACCTCCATTTCACAAGTTATTGGCAAGGACGCTAAGCAAGGTCTAACTAACTCTTAAGGGTTAACGAGTGGTAGTTAACTTTTGCCTTTCCCCCTCCCTCCCATCTTAAATGTCGACTGTTTACCAGGCTCACTGGTGGGCGGCCGATCTGGTGGAAAAAGCACCCGGCAGAGACTGCGAGGCGACCATAATGGCTTTCCGTCCCCTTGAGCTGCCCGCCCGGCATGGAGGTGTCCGACTGAGCTGCAGGGAGCTGCTGTGCTTGCTGGTGATCTCAGCGACGGTGACCGGTGGCGCCTCCGGGCTGTGCCCCTCCGCTTGCATCTGCGCCACCGACATTGTGAGTTGCACCAACAAAAACCTGTCCAAGGTGCCGGGCAACCTCTTCAAACTGATTCGGAGACTGGACCTGAGTTATAACAGAATCGGCCCCCTGGATTCCGAGTGGCTCCCCGTATCCTTCGCAAAACTGAACACCCTCATCATCCCTCACAACAACATCACCAGCATTTCCCCAGACAGCTTTACCAGCGCTCCAAATCTGAAGTGTCTCGACTTATCATCCAATAAGCTGAAGGCCCTGAAGAGCGCCGTATTCCAGGAGCTGAAGGTGCTGGAAGTGCTCCTGCTTTACAACAATCACATTTCCTATCTCGACCCTTCGGCCTTTGGAGGCCTCTCCCAGTTGCAAAAACTCTACTTGAGTGGGAACTTGCTCACCCAGTTTCCCATGGATTTGTATGTGGGGAGATTCAAACTGGCAGGGCTGACGTTTTTAGATGTTTCTTTTAACCGGATCCCTTCCATCCCCATGCACCCTATGAGTTTCGTGCCAGGGAGCCAGCTGCGGGGCATCTACCTGCATGGCAACCCATTCCTCTGCGACTGTTCCCTCTACTCGCTGCTGATCGTTTGGTATCGGAGGCATTTTAGCTCCGTGATGGATTTTAAGAATGATTATACCTGCCATCTGTGGTCTGACTCCAGGCGAACCCGCAGGGAGCTGCTGCTGCAGGACAGCTTTATGAATTGCTCGGACAGCATCAACGGCTCCTTGATTCACGAGGCTCAAGTTGGTGAGAGGTTTCTCGTCCACTGCGACAGCAAGATTGGTAGTGCCAGTACCGATTTCGTTTGGATCAGTCCAGATAACAAAGTGCTGGAGCCCGATCAAAAGATGGAAAATTTTCACGTGTTTCCCAATGGGAGTCTGCTCATAGAGAGTCCTCGTTTTGAGGATGCCGGAGTGTATTCTTGTATTGCAATGAACAGGCACCGGCTGTTGAATGAAACAGTGGAGGTCACCATCAACGTGAGCAATTTCAACAGATCCCACGCGCAGGAGGCGTTCAATACCGCGTTCACCACCCTCGCCGCCTGCGTGGCCAGTATTGTTTTGGTCCTTCTGTACCTCTACCTGACACCGTGCCCCTGCAAGTGTAAAACCAAGAGACAGAAAAGTATGCTACACCAAAGCAGTGCCCACTCCTCTGGTCTCACCCCTGGCCCCACGAGCGATGGCTCAGCTGACGAACGTAAGGCAGGCGGTGGGAAAAGGGTGGTGTTTTTGGAGCCCCTGAAAGATACCGCCACAGGGCAGAATGGGAAAGTGCGGCTCTTTCCCAGCGAGCCCGTGGTAGCGGAGGGCATCCTGAAATCCACCAGAGGGAAATCCGACTCGGATTCGGTCAATTCCGTGTTCTCAGACACCCCCTTTGTGGCGTCCACCTAATGCTGTATCTTTATTTGTGTACCGTGGTCATTTCCTCTGCCCATATCTTACTCTGTGTGTACTCTCAAATAAACAACAGGATAGAAATTGTGTTTAGGGTCTTAAAAATGCAACCAAATGGTGTCTTTAAGAGAAGCTCTGGTGGTAGGGCTCTTTCAGAGCCGGCTGCTAACCCAGAGGTCAGTGGTTTAGAAAGAGGTGGTGTTCCACTTCTGTAGAAGTCTAAGGCCTTGCAAGCCCTATGAGGCAGTTCTGCTCTGCCCTCACACCCTAAGTGGGCATCTACTCGATGGCATTGGGTTGGGTTGGGTTTTTGGCCTCCTAAATGGCTGGTAGGAAATCTAGTAAGGTATCCATCCGGGTCCTCAGTATGCCCGAGCAGAGGCTTCTTTGCCCCAGCACTCGGTTTAGACAGTCTCTCACGGCACCGATCAATGCGGAGGTGGTCCAGAGAGGGTATGGCCGACGTGGTCCTGACTCAGAATTGTTTAAAAAAGGAAAACCGATAAATAAATTGGAAGCACCCTTTTATTCATGGTCTCTGAAATTAGACTTTGCTTACTTCTGAGGGCCAAAGTTGAGTTATTTTCAAGGAAAGCATTAGCGCTCCTATTTTGTTTTTGAAGGGCAGCTAAAGCAGTAGTTATTTATAAAGCACCAAGTCAAGGGAGGCTTGAGAAGAATTCAGCTGCTCTCCTCATCTCAGACCAGGTTGAACAGGCTACGCGGACAGATCTCACTGGGTAATTTTGGGCCCTGCCACATCCTCCACGTTGTTATTCAGTGGAGAGCACAATAACGGTGCGTCTGTGTGACTGTCTTCGCTCCATTCTGTTCTTTGCCGGCCCTTGTTCAGAAGAGCTCATTGCAGATTTTGTTGTTGTTGTTTGTCGCCATAAACATGTAGGAGTCCATGGCAAAATGTCTTGAGCTAACCACCTCAAAGCTTCATTCTAAAAAGACAGTATGTGTTCCTATGCCTGTGTGTATGTGTATCTTAAAACATGTGAACCGTTACATGGACTCCTGTGTAAGCTTTAGACATGTTGACTTCATGTAAATACCCGTATTCTGTGACTGGATGTTCTGTTTAATTTGGTTATTTAAAAATATAAATCTGAGATGTCTTATGTGACCCAGTTGTGCTCTTTTGTGTAGAGAACCATCTATAACAAATAACTCTCCAAAGTTCTTGGAATGACAATTTAATTTTTAAATGGAGGGGAAGGCTCAAAAGTGTTCTGTATCTTTTGAGATATGTGCGCGCACACACACACACACACACACACACACTCTCTCTCTCTCTCTCTCTGGCGTTGTCCACTTCAACCGGGCTTGGCAGACCCTCACTGACTGTGCAGACCTGTGTGTGTCTGGAAGTCTGACGATCCCCGGCTCTACCGTGAGGTTGTTGATTTTTCTCTGGACCCCGCCTTTCTCAGGTACAAAATGAGGGGATCAGACCAGATGGTTATTTCAGGTTCCTTCTCTCTGTGGGGTTGATAGTTTTCTGGGAATAGCTCAATCACACACCCAGACTGGCCCTCTGAAACGACCGCCCACTAATGTCATACCAGAATGGCCTTAGGATAGACCCGGATAGCACTGCCTAGCTGCAAGGAATCTTCTGAATCATCGCAGTTTTCATTTTCACCCCAAGGAAGGCTGCGTGGTCCAAAGTCAGACAGTAGATGAGTGATCAGGAGAGAGGAGCGCTGCAGAGGAGCCCTGAGGTTGCCGGTTGGGCTGATAACCACAAGGCCAGCAGCCATAAACCACCAGCATCTTTGAGGGGGAAAAATGATGCTTTCTACTCCTGTAAAGAATTAAACCTTGTGTGTGTGTGTGGGGGGGGGCGGGGATTATACCTTTGGAATCCCACAGGAGTTGTTTGGCTCTGAACCGACTTCATGGCAGTCAAGTTACTTGGCAGAAATGAGAGGGCCAAAGAATGTTGACCTTGACCGGGAGTGGACTTAGAGAAGGAGGCAGCAGAGTGAATCTGAGTCACGTTTCACAAAGGAGAATCAGATCGGCATTGTGGTTGGAGCCGAGAGAGGGTTCACGACCGGCCCATGGGAGCCGGCAGCAGTGCCAAGGACTGCGAGGATGGAAGGACACCACGGGCTTTGGCAATGGTGGTTTGGGAAGAATGGCATCAGCAGTAATAGGAGTGGACACCGTGAGCGTCCATGAGGACCAAGCCCTCTTCTCAGTGATGGAGGCTGGTCCGAAAGGGTTAAGGAATCAATGAGTTGCAAGGGAGAGTGGCCATGGAGAGCAAGATAAAAACTACCAGAGAGGCATGGGAAATTCCCTAGTGCATGGTGCTAATACCCTTAGATCAAAAGATGTTAATGGAGAAACATGTCATTTTATTTGCTGCCAATCAAATAGCCAGGAGGAATGTCTTTTTAAACTTTGTTGACCTTTGAGATCATCTCAGTCTCTTACTTCACACCTGGAGAAATTTAGCTTGAGAGATGCTGTGACTTGCTTGTTCGAGTGAACACAGGAAAAGCTCTTGAACCACTGAGCTCTCCTGCCATGGGAAGGGCTGTCTGGAGGGAAGTTACAGTGAAGATGATCTTGTGCTTTTTCTGGATTTGATCTCAATGATCCGGCCAGCCCTAAAGCTCTTGAGTCTAGAAAATAACTATTTCAAAATATAGACAGTGCTAGGCATAGGTTGTATGTGGAATATAATCCTAGCTAAACTAATTCTCCAAATTCAGTTCAGTGCTATTAATTCGATTCCAACTCCTAGCAGCCCTATAGGGCCAGTTGGAACGGCCTCTGTGGGTTCCTGAGACTGCAACTCTATAGGAGTAGAAAGCTTCGTCTTTCTCCTGGGGACCCTCTGGTGGTTTCCAACTGCTGACCTGGAGATTAGCAGCTCACTGCATGACTCCTACGCCACCAGACACTGTCCAAAGGGCAGGATGTGCTGAGATCAAAACTAAGATAACCCAAAGAGAAGAAAACCAAACCATCCTGAATACTGAAAGGCAAAGCTGTGCTTTGGGCCCAAGTCAGAAGATAAGGAGATAGGAAGCGTGGAACTGAATGGTATGTGGAATTTTAAGTTCCTAGGAATCTTATTCTGTCGGTGGGAGCCCGGTCACAAGTATTTTAAATATAGGAACAAAACTAATTTGTACTTTGAAATTGGTGCCCCTCAGAACTTCAACAATTTCCCTTCCAAGTAATAATCTAGATTCATGTAAGTGAATTGTGTTATTCTTTAAACTATTTCGTCGTCATTGTTCATCACAATTCTGAGTTGAAATCCCTTGGAGAAATGGAGCAAGATCAAAGAGAGACATTTTCCCCTGGATTAGAATCCTGTTTCACTGTCATGAGGATCTTTGGTTGATCAAGAGTTTCATAGGATTTACCACCTGCAAGAATGCCCTGGAGCCTGGTCTTACTTTGGTCAGCTTCTGCAATCACCCTCACTGTTTGACCTGGAAGGGACCCTGGTGGCACAGTAAGTTACCTTCCGATGGTCAGCCGTTGGCACCCGCCAGCCACTCCTTGGATAAGAGATGAGCCTCTCGGCTCGCAGCAAAGATTTACAGCCTCAGAACCCCCGGGGGGCATTCTACCCTGTCCCACAGGGGAGCTGTAGCAGCTGGAATTGAATCCATGGCAGAAGATTCGATCTAGAGTTTTAAATACATTCGTTTCCAGCTTTAAATGCTCGACTTGTCTGTAGAGAAAAATATTTCGTTTTGGGTTTTTTCCTCCAACTAAGCATTTCCCCCCTGAATTGTAAATCATCAGGGAAACTTTTTGGGGTGGACCCAGAGGTGCAGGGAAACATGCCATCCGGACCAATTCTGGAAAGATATCTGATGAGCCTGCAGTGTCCCCAGCTTTTCCTTCGCTCCCTGATGATTGCTACTTTCTCGTGTCACCTGGTCCCAAATCGAGTTTATCGATTACATCAGAAGGGAAAGGCCTTCAAAGAAGGGCTTCCAGCACCCACCTATTCAGTCTCACCCCACCCCATCCACTCTGACTCAGGAGGTCTCAGTTGAGCCCTGCCAATCGGAATTGTCAAAACCATCTACCAAATCATTCTCATTCAGCCTATTTTGATAGACGAAGCGGAACCATTCACATTGCGTTCTAGAATATTGTTCTGACTTGCTAAGGGGTTTGTCGGTAAAAATAAAAAGCTTAGCCCCCTTTGAAAAGGCAGAAAAGGAAAGAAAAGAAAAACATTTTAAGATCTTGGAAAAACAAGGGAACGTGGCTCTCTGACAGGAAATGAACCGCATGAGGAACGGCTGGCTGTCGTTGAGAATTGTCAGTTTACAAATGATGAGATGTAGGCTCAGGCCGTGGAGATGACTAAACTTCGGATTGCTTCGTTTGAAAAACAGACTGACTTTAGTCTGCAAGCCGCTACCACAGCTCGGGTCCCTGACGGGAAGCTCTCGCTGCGGCTTTCAGATGTGATCAGATCACAGCAGCATGAGGGCATGTTCTACGAAGGAGGACATGTTCCGTGTGAGTGAGGCTTCTTCGACCAGTCACGGAACTCTTGTTTCTCTATCTTTTTCCTCTTAGAACACTGAGCACCTTGTCATAGGTCTCTCGTCCCCCTCTTCCTGAGAGCCCCAGCCTCGTGGTTTCTGATGATTCTAAAATGAAAAGTAGTGCCCAAAGGCATAGGGAGACCTTGCGATTTTATCTAGTAGTATACAAAAAAAGAGAACCGGAAACCCGCAAAAGACCTGGTGAATAACTTAGAGGCCCGCTAGAGGCGCCATTGCAGCTTCAATCGCTCGGAGGACTGACAGCTGAAGTTGCCACAGTTGTGTGTGGGTCAGTCCCAGCAAGGAGGCACCTTACAGACCCTCGGTCCACCACCAACTGGTCTGTGGGACCGTCTGAGCACCAGAGTATTCAACCATGGAAAGGCAAACCTCTTTGAAGTGATAGGCATTTGATGCACGCATGGAACTGAGTGTTGTTGTGTGTTGCTGTTGAGACGATGCTGACCTTGAGTGAGCCCATGTCTCTCCATAGGGTCTCCAGGACTGTGACCTTTTGGAAACCGATCACTGGGCTCTTCTTTGGGGGTGCCTCTGAGTAGGTTCAAATGTCGCCCAGTGACCCACAGAACGTATACTAAACCCCACCCTTTGTCATCAAGTGGGTTTCAGCTCACAGGGACCCTATAGAACAGAGTAAAACCAACCCTGGAATTACAGGGTTCCAGGGTTGTAAACTTTTACAACCTTCGAAGGCAGCCACCTACCCCTTCCTTCTGAGCAGCTGGTAGAGTTGAACCTCTGATCTTAGAATAGAGCTTCTGGATAGGGTTTCCAAGGCTATAACTGTTTAACGGAGCAGCCAGCCTCATTCGTTCTCCTGAGGATAGGTTGGTGGATTTGAACCACCGACCTTGTGGTTAGTAGTCCAATATTATTCCTCATCATAACAACCTTGAAAGACAGGAACTATGACTTCAGTGACAGATGGGAAAATGAGGTTCAAAAAAGGTAAATCACTTACCTAGGTGATCCACCTAAATAAGCTATTTATAGCTTGACAGTCATTTAGAAATATCTCTACGTGATACTGCCAGGTATGTCTCTCAGTGTTACAAATGACTTTGAAAAGCACTGGCCATGCGTAAACGTTCTATAAATGCAAGCGTGGAGTGAGGAGGAATGGAAGGCTAGGAATCCCAAGACTTCCAAGCATCCTACAAGTGGAATTGATCGTCCCCCCCTATAAAACAATGTGTTGCAAGTGGCAAACCTGGAAATCTCTGTTACAAGGAATAGGCTTAGCCGATAGGCCTTCTGTAGTCCACTGGGTTCTTCTAGCCCACTTGACCTTTACCCATGACATTGTATAGTATTCCAAACAAATATTTGCTCTATTAATTACCTGTCTAAGGGATCTATATAGCTAAAGGATCATGATTGATATGTTTTTCATTAGAAAGGGCCTGAATTATTTGTAGGGTAAACAGTTTTGTTGGAGAGAACACCAGATAATTTATTTTAAATTTCCTGAAAAGTTATTTGGACAGCTCACACCCATAAAGATTTTCAAAGTAATTAATTTCTCAGCTTGAAGAACCAACCTTACTGCTATCAAGTTGATTCCAAT